CGGTCTATGCTTACCTCTCTGCCTCATCTCTTCATTATTACAGTTAAAAACAGCCCAGCCAGTGTGGCTTCATGGTTGAGCATCGACCTATGAATGACTTGATTCCGGTCAGAGCAAATACCTGGGTTGTGGCCTCGATTCTTCAGCTTGGGGCATGTATGAGGCAGTCAATCAATGATTCTCTTCATTGATGTTTCTATCTCTATGTCCCTCTCCCTTCCTCTCTGAAATAAAAATATATTTTAAACAAAATTCAAGAATAAATTTGAAGATCTAATTGACTTTATTATTTAATCCAGGAATTGGGTAGCATCCCATCTAGCAACTCCAAGTGGCTATATATCAGATATATAAAGTGAAAGGCTTTTTTTATTTTTTTATTTTATAGAAAGAAGGGTAGACAAGGGAGCTATTAACGAAAGTAAAGATTATTTTAAGACTAGGACATCTTTTGGGGATGGAGGGAGTAATGGCAAGGATTTTTATCATGAAGGTTGCTGCTTCTATGGAGGAAGGAGGGAGTACAAGTAACATGTTACCTTAATGGTGCTTGATCAGAAAATTCTAGACTGATTAAGATTACATTTTTTATTTTTTTTATTAAGTTATTACATGTGTCCATATTCCCCATTGCCCCCTCCACCCCACTCCCATACATGCCCTCACCACCCTGCTGTCTCTGTCCATTGGTTATACTTATATGCATGCATACAAGTCTTTTGAGTGATCCCTCTCCCTTACTCCCACCCTCCCCTACCTTCCCTCTGAGGTTTGAGCATCTCTGATCGATGTTTCTGTCTCTGAATCTGTTTTTGTTCATCAGTTTATGGTGTTCATTATAATCCGCAAATAAGTGAGATCATGTGATATTTATCTTTCTCTGACTTATTTCATTTAGCATAATGCTCTCCAGTTCTATCCATGCTGTTGCAAATGGTAGGAGTTCCTTCTTTTTTGCAGCAGCATAGGATTCCATTGTGTAGATATACCACAGTTTTCTAATCCATTCATCTGCTGATGGTCATTTAGGCTGTTTCCAAATCGTGGCTATGATGAATAGTGCTGCTATGAACATAGGGTGCATATATCCTTTCTGATTGGTGTTTCCAGTTTCTTGGGATATAGTCCTAGGAATGGGATCACTGGATCAAATGGCAGTTCCACTTTTAGTTTTAAGAGGAAACTCCATACTGTTCTCCACAGTAAGATTACATTTTTTAGAAAAATATATTTTTATTGATTTCAAAAAAGAAGGGAGAGGGAGATAGAGAAACATCAATGATGAGAGAATTATTGATCAGTTGCCCCCTCCACCACTGCCATGGGGGATCAAGTCTCCAACCTGGGTATGTGCTCTTGACTGGAATCGAACCTGGGGCCCTTCAGTCTGCAGGTCAACACTCGATCCACTGAGCCAAACCAGTCAGGGCAAGATTACATTTTTTGAGACGTTGAAACTACAGTTACATCAGGTATTAAGTCTAAGTTTGGCCCAGCCAGTGTGGCTCAATGGTTGAGAACCAACATATGAACCAGGAGGTCCTGGTTCAATTCCCAGTCAGGGCACATGCCTGGGTTGTGGGCTGGATACCAAGTAGGGGGCATGCAAGAGGCAGCTGATAAATGAATCTCTCTCATCATTGATGTTTCTCTTTCTCTCTCTCCCTCTCCCTTCCTCTCTGAAGTAAAAAAAAAAGAAAAAAAGATATATTTTTAAAATCTAAGTTTGTTATCATTGGCCTTAGCACAAGTGACACCATTTTGGGCCTCTCTTTAATACTATCTCTCCCTGTCTTTACTCCAATACCACAAGCCTCTTTCAGTTCTGAACACCCCTACTGGCTACAGGCCCTCTGCACAGACAGTCCCCCTATCTGGAACATCTATCCCTTCCCCCTTTCTTATTTGGCTCATTCATTCATTCATGATTTAATTCATTCAGCAAATACTTATTGAGCACCTACTATGTGCCAGGCACTGGCACTAAATAAAATTAACTTCCTGTTCTCAAGGAGCTTGCTTTTTAAGGGGGGAAACAAAAAATAATTGAACAAGTAAATAACTAAATGCAATAATGTCAGAAGTTGAAAGTGCTATGAAAACAAAGCAGGGTAAAGGAATTATGAGAGAAGAGGAGCGCCCGAAGATGCCCTCTCTGGAGAGCTGACACTGGGCAGAACACTGAGTGAATGAATGAGCCATGCAGGTCAGTGAGGAAGAACATTCCAGGCAGACAAGGCAGCAAGTGAAACAGGTTGAGGAGGGAACCTACAAAGGCTGTTTGAGTCCAGCCAGGAAGCCAATGTGACTGGAGAGGGGTGGGCAGGCAAAGGAAGGAGTGATAGAAAACGAGGCAGACAGGTAGCCAGGGAAAGATCAGATAGTCTTGTAGACTTTGGTAAGGAATCTGGATCTAATTTTACGTGTAACAGACAAGCATGGAAAGGTTTTGAGCAACAGAGTGAAATGATCCATTGTGAAAGGATCCCTCTGGCCGCTTCTGGAGAAAAGGCTGCAGGGACAAGAGTGAATACAGGAAGCCAGTCAGGAGACTGCTGTGGTGCCCAGGCAAGAGACAGTGGTGACCTGGTCCACAGCAGTAGCGGAGGTGAGGACATTTAGGCTGTTCGGTCAGAAGCACAGTTGGCAGGATTTGCTGGCGGGTTGGATGTGTGAGAGGACAGTAAGACAACAGATAGGTTTTGCCCTCATCCACCTGAGTTCTCAGCTCTAAGACTCTTCCTTAGGAAAGACCTTCTCTGTCATCCAGACTAGGTGAGGTCTCCTGTAGAGAGGGAGAAAGTTACCTGTCCCACATTTCCAGAATATAAAACTGAAACTAGCATGTTCCTGTCTTTGTTAGCAGTGGTTACTGTGAGCCACACGAGAACTGGCTTGAGTACAGTAATAAAACCTGCCAGGAGTCAGAGTCTTTATTCTATTTTTTCCCACATAGAGGAATGCTCTCTGATATCGTGTGGCCAAGAATCACACCAGGAAGGTGCTATTATTAGCTTCATTTGATCCACAGGAAACTGAGGCTCAAAAAGGTGAAGTAAAGGAATTGTGAGAGAAAACAACAGAGCTAGGTCACAGAGCCAGAGGTGGAAGAGCTGGGACTTAAATCCAGGTCCCGCTTCAGTTAAGAAACAGAGCTGTGTGCTCAGAGGAGTCAGTTAAAGGATAAATAGGAGAAAAGAGCAGGAAAAAGTTCATTCTAGTTATTATTATTTTTTTAAATTTAGACATAAAGTTTTAATTTTTTTTGTTGGTTTACAACAGAGGACTTTCTTTAAGTAGCAGGTGAACCAGGAAGGAACAACTCAGGTTTATTCAAAACCAAAACAGGCAAAGGAATCCTGAAAAGCTGTTTTTTAAAGGTAACACAGAAGTAGAATTTTAAATGAAAGCTCCCACAACCACTACCAGTGCTGCTGAAATTGTTGTAAAATTGGTCTCTGTCTCTTGGCTAGCAGGCAGTATTTTTAAAAATATATATTTTTATTGATTTCAGAGAGGAAGGAAGAAAGATACATCAATGATGAAAGAGAGAGTCACTGATTGGCTGCTTCCTTCACACCCCACACTGAGGATCGAACACCACAACCCAGGCATGTGCCCTGACTGGGAATGGAACCGTGATGTCTTGGTTCATAGTTTGATGCTCAACCGCTGAGCAACGCTGGCCAGGCAAGCCAGTATTTTTAATTTACACTACTTGTCAGCTTGTAGTTAAACACCTGTGTGATGATCTGATTAATGCCGCTCTCCTATACTAGACCGAAAGCTACATAAGGGCAGGACCTGTGTCTATTATGCCCGTAGAGCGTCGTTCAGTGCCTAACACCAGTAGATACTCACTTTGTAATTGTTGCATAAATGGATGGTGCTGTTATCATGATTAACTTTTTGGAAAGCAACGAAACAATATATAGTAAGACCTATAAGATGTAATATTATTTGACTAGATTCTGTTGTTGGAAAATATTCAACAACAACAACAAAAAGGAGCCCTGGCAGTGTTGTTCAGTGGTTAGAGCTTCGGCCCACGCACCAAAGGGTCTCAGGTTGAATTCCCAGTTAAGGGCACCCACCTGGATTGCAGGTTCGACATCTGGCCAGGTTGGGGAGCCTGGTGTGCGGGAGGCAATCAATCGATGTTTCCCTCCCATATCAATATTTATCTTTCTCTTCTGCTCCATCCCTCCCACTCTCTCTGAACAGCAATGGAAAAAAATATCCTGGGGTGATGATTAACCAAAAAAAGAAAAAGAAAGGCATATTCCTTTCTGCATTCTCTGTGAAGGTAAGCAACTAGTCATATGGATTCTATGCATGTGGATGATGATTCAAAACAAAACAAAAGGAAGCATGTACTTCTCCAATTTGATTACGTAAGGGCAGAAAGGACAGAAAGGAAACTGGTGTTTTTGTTGGGGGACTAAAGCTTAGAACTGGTCCTTATACTCCCTTAACTACAGCAGAAGCTGGAGTCTGTTCTGGACTTCCTCCCCACAGCACCTTGTTGGTGGTTAGCTCAGGAGAAGTGCTCAGCAAATACCCACCGAATAGTATTTCACTCTTTGTGTTCTTCCAGTCTTCAGTGATCAGTCTCCTCCACTTCCCACTTCCATTTGCTATCCAATCAGTTAGGAAGTCTTATCAAGGGCAAATTGATTTATTCATCCAACAAACATTTGTTCAGGGCCTACTGGGTGCCAGGTACTCTTCTAAGTGCTGGTTAAGAGACATAAACTAAACAGGCATAGTCCTTCTCATGGACGTTAGATCTTAGCAGAAGAGACACAGGCTGCTAAGGAATAACCACATGTTAGGCCACCCCGCCTCCATTCTATCTCCAACAGCCTTCAGGGTCCAACCCGGCCTGAAAGCCAGCTGTATTTTAAAGTGCAAGTGTAAATCTGAGTTCATATTTCCCTATCAAAATGCCGTCTACGTTTCTTATGCACACGAAGCCCTTGGGGATCGCCCCTGCTTACCTCTCCACATTCCTCTCCAGGCACCCACGCGCCCGGTACACGGAGACGTTTTCATGCCACTTTTCTTCCACCCGAATGTTCTCCAACCGGGGATCTCCATCCTCCAAACACCCGAGTGTCTACATGGCAGGCAACTGCCAGGCTCAGGGCCGCGACCCCTCCCGGGCACCTTTCTCCCACGGGGCCCCGCGCCCGCAGCTCCAGGAGGCACAGCATTATCACCCCAATCCTATCATCCTTCCTGGGGCCCGGGGCTGCGCCTCGCTCACCAACCTGCCAAAGGGCAGGCACCCGAGAATCGTTTGTGGGTTTAATGAAAGAGCAACCACAGGTTCTACAACGGACGTTAAAAATCCCCGAGACGTTTGCACTTCCGGGTGGCAGCGCGGCTGGCCGCTGGGGAAGGGCGCTGCTCTAGGAGACGGGCTCGGTGGTCGGGAGGACCCGCGGAGAAGCGTGGGGAGAGCGAGGGGTCGGCGTCTGCGCAGTAGACATCCCCCCCCGCGGGGCGGGCGCGGGGGCTTCGCTGGCCAATGAGCGGGCGCGGCTCGGCAGGAGGGGCGGGGAGTGAAGCTCCTGGGCGGAGGAAGAGGCGGGACCGCGGCTTGGAAATCCCAATCTGGTCCCGCTGGTCCCCATGCAGCCCTGTGGCCCAGCGGCGACCGAAGTCCTCCTGGCTCACCTTTGCCCCAGAGACGTTCTCTGTAAACTAAAATGTGCCTGTTGCCTCTTTAGACACTATCTCGTCCAAAAGTGTGTGATGAGTGCACGCAAACCTCCTGCACGTGAGTGGCCTGGGACCTTGTTAGAAATGCAGAGTCAGATGCGGTAGGTCTAGGGTGAGCCTGCATTTATTACAAGCTCCCAGGGGATGCCGACGGTCGCTCAGAATTCTCCCACACACCTTGAGGAGCAAAGGTATGGAACTGGTTCTCAAAATGCACACACCTGGGAATTGGTGGACATGCAAATGTTGGGCCCCACTTCACATCTACTGATCCCTAAGTCTGGGAGTTGGGGCCCAGCAGCGGGTGGTTTTAGGAGCCCTGTCGGTGATTCTGATGCATGCTGGAGTGTGTGAAAACCTCTGGACTGGGGGAAGGTCACATTGAACCTCATCCCTCCACAGATTTGTGGCCCATTTGGCTAAGATCTAGTTTCTTCAGCTGAAAAATCAGAAAAAAAATACTATGCCTCCCTAGTGAACCTATTATGAGGAGGAAATGTGAGCTATACATGAAAAGTATTTGGCACACACCATAGCATTCTATAACAATTAGCTATAGCCCAGCCCTTCTGGCTCAGTGGTTGAGCAATCCAGCAAGTCACAGTTGGACTCCCAGTCAGGGCACGTGCCCAGATTGCAGGCTTGATCCCCAGTGGGGGTGGGGGAGGGAGCATGTAGGAGACGGCCAATCAATGATTCTCTCTCATCATGGATTTTTTTTTCTCTACCTCTCCCTTCCTCTCTGAAATCAATAATAAAATTAGCTATAATCATTACCATTACTGCATGTTTATCCCAACATTATTCACAATAGCCAAGACATGGAAACAATGTAAATGTCCACTGATGGATGAATGAATAAAGAGGAGATATACACACACATAACTGAATATTATTCAGCCATTAAAAGGAAATCCAATCCTGCCATTGGTAACACCATGGATGGACCTGAGGACACTATGCTAAGTGAAATAAGTCAGAGAAAGATAGTTTATTATTTCACCAGTTAATAATGCATATTTTTTCAATAGACGGAGTTACACATATGTTGATATATATGCAATTTGATGTGTATGTTATTTTGTTGTATTGCCCCTTCAGATTACCACTTGTTCTGATCAATGGCACACACATTTTCTGAGCAGCACTTCAAAACGTACGAAGAAGTGGAAAATTGGGTCTTTGGTCTGCCTCAAAACAAGAAAAGGACAGTATCCACAGATTACCTGAAAGATAGGGAAAATGTATAGCTATTATGGTTAATAATGTGGATTAGCTATTAACTGGTTAATAATGTGGATTAATTATTAACCAGTTAATAATGCAAATTAACTATTGATGATGCAGATTAACTATTAACTGATTAATGATGTGGGTTAGCTATTAACAAATTAACTATTACTTGATTAATAATGCAGATTAACCATTAACTGATTAATGATGTGGGTTAGCTATTAACCAGTTAGAAATGCAGAATAATTATTAACCAGTTAATAATAAGAATTAACTGTTAACTGGTTAATAATATAGATTACCTCTTAATCAGTTAATAATGCAGATTTTGTGATCCAAAGAAAACACGATAATTTCAAGAGAAACATCAAAAGTGCTTTATTTAAAGTAATGTCCATCGCTAGCTACATATTTTCCCCATCTTTCAGGTAATTTTTGGATACCGTCCCAATGGTACTTTTCTTGTTATGAGGCAAACCATTCAGAGACCCAATTTTCTACTTTTTCGTACGTTTTGAAGTGCTGCTCAAAAAGTGCATGTGCAATGGATCAGAACAAGTGATAATCTGAAGGAGTAATATAACAAAATAGCATATATATCAAATTGCATATATATATATATATATATATATATATATATATGTAACTCCATCTATTGGGAAAAAAGTCTGCATTATTAACTAGTATACCTAGTATATGTGGAATCTGAAAAAGCCAAACTCATGGAAACAGAAAGTAGAATGGTAGTTGCCAGGGAAGGGTGGGGGAAATGAGGAGAGGTTGGTCAAAAGGTTCAAATTTCCAGTTATAAGATGAATAAATTCTGGAGATCTAATGCATAACATGGTGACTATAGTTAGCAATAATGTATTATATAATTGCAGGTGCTAAGAATAAATCTGAAATGGTCTCATCATATAAAAAAATAATTATGTGAGGTGATATATCAGTAACCTTATTGTGGTAATTATTTCACATGTATAAATGTATTAAATCAGCATGTACTACACACTAAACTTTATAGATCACTTAAACTACCCTATATAATAAAGACGGAATATGTAAATTGACCATAACTCCATGACAAAGATGATGGTACCCACAGCCAATAAGGAGGGAATATGCAAATTGAAGCAACAAGGCGAGAGGCAGAAGGTGGCTGTGGTCAGAGTGAAGGTGAAAAGGAGGCTCCAGGCCTGAGTGAAGGTGGTGTCAGCAGTCAGGGGAAGGAAGGCCTATTCTTGTGCGAATCTTTGTGCATTGGGCCTCTAGTTAGCTATAAATGGCTTTAAGTGGATTATCTATAGACAGTTAATTTTAAGCAAATTGACCTAGAATTACTTTGAATGGGTTGTATTTAATATGTAATTATATTTCATGTTTAATTACTTAAATAGTTGGTAAATTAAAAAATATTGATTTATTGACAATTATGTAAATTGATAAAAAATCACAAACACCAAATGCTTTAGGAGTCCATTGGTAATAGCTGATAACTTCATAAGGTTGGGGGTAATGAGTGAGGATCAGGAAGCTTGTGAGGTTCAGGAGAATGCTTTTGAATTCAGTAAATAAACATTGTGGTAGACCAACAAAACAAGTCTAAGGCCAGATTGGCCTGTTGGATTCCAGTATTTGACCTTTGATTTTTGTTAATTGGCTTTATACCTGCTAATTAAAACTAGTTTACTGTAAGGTGACACTTATTCTATCTCAGTATATTTAGCCATTATAATAGCAATTTAATAAAAAAATTTAAGCATATATATATATTTAATATATTTTATTGATTTTAGAGAGGAAGGGAGAGGGAGAAAAAGATAGAAACATCAGAGAATCATTGACCAGCTGCCTCCTGCATGCCCCACACTGGGGATCGAGCCCACACTCAGGCATGTGCCCTGACTGGGAATCCAACTGTGACCTCCTATTTCAGAGGTTTAATGCTCAACCACTGATTTATGTCTGGCTGGGCTATATCCTATATAATAAAAGGCTAATATGCAAATCAACCGAATGGTCAAGGGCATGTACCTGGGTTTCAGGTCCAATCCATGCCCCTGGTCAGGGCGACTGTGGGAGGCAACCAATCAATGTGTCTCTACCATCTAATCAATTGATGTTTCTTTTTCTTATTTCTCTCTCCCTCTCCCCGCACCTTTCCACTGTCTCTAAAAATCAATGGAAAAAATATCCTCTTTGGTGAGGGTTAAAAAAAATAGAAAGGACTTATTTGCAGGGGACATAAAAGTTCAGCAATTATCATAATTACCTGATTTAAGTTGGCACTCTGGAGTAATAGTCTTCTTCAAATTATATTAGTACTAGAGGCCGGATGCATGAAATTTATGCATTGGTAAGTCGCTAGGCCCGGCCGGCGATTGAAGTGTGAGCGTCTGGCATGGAAGGCAGGTCCCAGCTGACCTCTGGGCCCTAGGTAGCACATGGGCCCCAGACCCCCACTCATCCCCTTTACCTGAGTTATGGTGCTTGAGTTCCCATGTGGAGATGTGGTGAGCACGGCCAGGCACTGCAGGCCGGGGCTCAGCATGGGGCCTTTGGGCTGCCCAATTGGGCCCCTATGGTTCCGATGCCCTTGACAAGAAATCAAAACCAAGACCTTCTGGTGTCCTGGCCAACACTCTAACCAAGGAGCAATGCCAGTCAGCAAGTCCTTCGTATTTTTACAGAATATTGGCATGGAGATAATTCACACTAAGTGAAATACCTTGTTAAGACACCCTGTCCACATATTCTCAACAGTACTCTTCCTGGTCATCCTAAGGCTTTATTTACGTGGTCTATTTCCAAGCTCAGTGCTGCGGAAGCACCTTTTTCTATATAGCAGTTTGCCAGGATTATCTGAACAACTGGGAGTGCCACTGGTTGAGGCACACTAAGGGACTGGAAACATTTAAAATATTTATCATTAAATATTTTAATCACTAAACCCCTATCTCTGTTCTCTTGAACTTGACCTGCAACATGCCACAGGGTTATAAAGAAATTACAAAAAACTGCACTTCTCAAAAGACTGGGAACCACAATCTGGGCACAGGGCACTTCCTTTCAAAGAAATCAAGTCAATTTCCAGAAGACCTATCTAATTTGCATGAAATTTATCTCTTTTTTCTCCCCAA